TTAGTATAGTTTCCTAGGAGATAATCGATAGAGAGGAATTACGTAGCTTCGGCTATATAGTTATATAGCCTAAAGGTGTACTACGAGTAATCGCTCTAGGGCGTACTCTAAAGCTTTATACGGGTTTAACCCGTAATACTTTACTTAGATAGATCTTAAGTTATTTAATAAGATAGAAAGCGACTATATATTCTACTCCTTCTTTCTACGGTCTTCGGCTACTTCTACTATAGATCCTAAACCTTGTCTCCCGGATAGTATATAAGTAATAAAAGAGAGATAAGACTTAAGCTTCGTCTACTTAGAGTAAAGTCTAAGTAAAATAAATATTAGTCTTATCGTCGATGTAGTCTCCGGTACACTAAGGCGAGGTATCTTCTCTTAAAGTACGGAGCATAATTTTCCGCTCCGGAGGTAGTATTTATATCGATATCGCTACCGAGAGCCGAATTTACGGTTATAAGTATCTCTAATCTACTTAATACATTATCGCACTTAGACCCTAGCCTTATCGTAGACGTTTAGAGTAAAGCGTAGGTCGTAGTATCCGGTAGTAGCTAGGGTAGTATAAGGGTATTACGGTCGCGGTACGTATACTCCGTTCCGTGGATAGGTCAAAAGAGAAGCGGAAGGCGTCGAGGTATATAGAATAACGAGATATATAGAAAAGACTAGGTATAATGGAAAGGGGCGAGGAGGGTTTAAGAATCCTCTCGAAGCCGCGAACATCGCGGCTCGTAGATTTATAGTATTCTACTCTAGACCTCTACTTACTACGCGATGATCTAACAATATAGAAAGGAAGACTAGTGGAGTGAGAAGGTGGAGGTTACTAACGAGACTAGAAACCCGGAGTTTAGTAGCGGGCCCTAGTGGACTACTAGGCTACCGGGCAAGCGACAAAGGGAGCAAGGGTTGGGCAAAGCGATGGGTTGTAGCTGAGGGGTCAAGCCATAGGTGCAGAGTGCTCGCTAAGCGGCGGTCAATATCGTCAAAAACCCGAGCCCATTACACTACCAATTATTTTCTACCAGCAATACCTGCATCTGGACACCCCCGCTCAAGTCACTCAAACCCCGTTTGACAGCGACTAAACACCACCTGTCACCTCCACCATTGGCTGATATAACCACCCATCTGCATGGTGGCTTTCCTCTAAATTACCAAGCAGTAATGCACCACCATCGTCCATTACCAGAAGCTTGGCTGTAGTGAGGCGCAGCCTTGTTCAGTCGTCATGTCAACTCATCTTGCATTCCCCCTTACTTCTTCAATCAAAATCCAAACCCATCGCTGGAAACTCCATACCTTGGAACCTCATCCTACACCCGCAACCAGCACCACAAGCACGACCCCATCTATCGCCAGATCATGTCTGGGGTGGGTGAAGTTCTAGCAATCGTTAGTTGCGTCGCCGGACTCATCCAAGCCTATGATTCTGGCACTCGCATCATCAGACAAATCAAAGCGAGACGCCAGGCCCATGGCGCTCTTCCACCCTCTGATCTACTCGAGCAATCTATTGAGAAAGGCAAGAGGGAAATCCAAAAGGTGGTCGAGGATGGAAAGCAGCGCTTTGGTCCCTCATTCGAAGAGGGCGACGGTGAGCCACCACCAAATAGGAGAATTCAATCACTAACGTCGCAATCAGCCACCGCTCAAAATGCTCTCTTCCGCATCACCATTGCAACACAGCAAGCTCTTCTAGATGGCCTTACTCAGGCTCGCGAAGACGACGGAATCATAGATTTCGGATATTGTCAACACCTCGGATAAGGGTCGCAACGATGCCCTCATCGCACTCCATCAATTGTTCCAGCGCAAACTCGAGGAAGAGATGGCGACCAAGAGAATACAATCTCCAACATTAGCATCGTCCCAGGCTCCAGCATCACTACCTCCTGCTCCTACTTCCCTAATCTCGCCCTCTCCATATCAACATCATCCTGTCCAGGTCACAAATCCCAGACATGATCAATCGACCCCTTCGCCGTGGCCCAAGATCAAGAAGTCCCGAACATTTGGTGAAGTGGTGGGGTTTCGACGAAAGTCAAAGGATAACAGGGATCTATCTCCAACAATATCAGATGTCCTAGAGTTGGACAAACTGGCTGAAATGGCCCCCAGACTATCAAAGCACGAAATACAACCCTCGGTAAATCGGCGAAATACAAACTCTTCTATGCGTTCCCATGCCACTTGGTCGAATGGTTCTACCGACTCTACTGTTGGCCAACCTAGACCAATACTTCGAACAGACACCTCAGCATCTTCCATCACCATGGTCGCCCGGCGTGATAGTAACTTCTCAACCATCTCGGGCATGTCTTCAATGTCCGTCGTCTCGTCCATCTCTCCTATTACAGCTTGGCTCCAATCAAGACTGGTCTAGTATAGTATCGCTTCTCCCACTCACCCCAGGCTTTCGGCGTGCATATTGTGTCCAGACGAATGATCGGGCGACGTGCTGGTGGACCGAATGAAAAAAGCGAAACGTTGAATCTTGCCTTGCAACAAATGAACAACCATCCGAACCGCGAAGTGCCGTCCTTGTTGGCAGGGTTTTACCGGCTCCTGTACGAATGTGGCATAGATGCTTGGCCGATGACGTCACACCGGTTCTGCTCAATGACTGATCTCGAGGCAATATGAAGCGAATGATGACAGCTGGTGAAGGGAAAATGGGCTGAAGTTGGGAACTGATGAGCCCCGCTTCAGCTGAGGGGTTGTTGAAGGTCACAGCAAATCACTGTGCTGCCTTGACAGAGATAAGAGTGTTCCAATGCAAATGTGGAAAGGCGCTCAAAAGTCTCATCCAAAGTGTCTCGCTCTCTTTACAGAAGTTCCGTGCCACAGCACTACATCATTTCAGCTCTCATTCTCTCGCCTCCCAGGCTAAAACTATAACTGTTTGAGAGTGCACACATAGAGCTGCACAAGGAGCCTTTATGAGATATCACTCCTGGAGACTCTAAACGGGTTCCAATAGTGGCGACTTCATCACGTCAATCGAAGCGCCCGCCAAAATGCAAATCTTTATTCGAGGGTGTGCGTGCAACTCCAGCCTTTGATCTACACCGTATGGCTTACACTCGTCACAGTGACAGAGCCAGACATCATAACTCTTGAGGTAGAGTCCTGGGATACGATTGAACATGTCTACGACCAGTTGATCGGCTACGACTTTGATGACAGTAACCAATTCCTCACGTACGGCGGCAAAAGACTTTACAGAAATCGTATATTAGCCGACTATAATATCTCCAAAGAGTCCACTCTCAGTGTGGTAACTCAACGCCTACCCAGAGATTACACATCACTCATGTCATCCTTTCCTCCTGAGACAACTGAATTGACCGATGAAGCTACCCTAGACGCGACTCGCGATGCCTGGAAAAAACTGGCTAAAGAGTGTGATTTCGACGATGATTTGCACATTCTAGACCCTCTCGCCTACTACAGCAAGCTTGAACTTGTTGAATCAAGGGTTGTAGAGTCTTCCGAGCTTGTCCGCTCAAAAGGTACCTACGATTTTGTGGATGATGAGCCTCATGACGCAAGTGGTGGGGCATTTCAAGAACTGGAAGATCAGCACAACATGATTCTAGCCATGATTTTGGGCGAACGTGCGACAACAGTAACTCAACCTGAAAACCGATGGCAACACATTCACAGACATCTTCGAAGTCTGTACAAGACATATACCATTGTAGCGCAGGTCTCAAAGTCCATTGAAGATCTGAGGTCGGCTAGTATGTGTGGGGAGTTCTTCAGCGTCCTGCGATACAGAAAGCACGAGCCAGAACTTGCAGAGTTGATTCGAATTCCTTGCAATCTGATTGACGGCTTTAGGGATGCTCTTTTGGTAGTCTTGTTGAAGTTCTCTGAAGAAGCGCAGGACGACCCCGAAGTTGTCATATCCGCCAACGTCATGCCAATCTGTCTTGAGATTCAAACACTACTCGAGTTACCAACCCCTTCAGAACCTGAAGCCCTTCTCTTTTGTAGAGCAATCGCTTTCATCTTGGACTTGGCACTGGTTTCTTATGTTGGATCACATGCAGAGCGTTTTGATCTCACCCACATCAATAAGCCTCTCCAAGACATTTTCATTAATGGTGCTGTGTTGGACCTGTTTGATGTTCACCTAAGTCTTGCCGGCCTTGCTTGTTTGGACGGATTCTTGAACGGGCGTAAGGTGTGGGTACTTAGTCTTCCGTCGGACCACACATCACCTAGTCACCTTCAAGGAAAACGTCTCCATATTCTCACCAAGATAGACGTTTTTGCCGATGTATGGGGCCCAGTATGGACCCTGCAAGATAAGGACTCTTCCGAGATCAAACAATTCAACCTCTCGACCGGTGTCATCATTCCTAAACTAACACGACAGAAGCTAATCCATCTAGATGCCCTCCCTTGCCATTGGTACAGCTCAAAAAGATTTTTGGCCAGGAAATATTTTCCGTCGCCATTTCGTGGATCTTCTACTCTAACGATGGCACTCGATTCTCTTCTGCTGATTGGGAACAACATACGCGAAAACAACGAATGCGACTATATGTTGAACGATTTTCAAGCGGACTATGAAGATTGCTTTAAGCCATTGGAGGTGAAGGAAGGCGGGTGGGCTTGGGATACGCGTGGAGTTCAAACAAGCTTTGGCTTTTCCAAGATAGTTACTGGATCTGTCGGAGTTTCTGGTACCCAAAAGCGACAACCAGCTGTTACGCGAAGACAGGCCATTATCAGCAAATGGAAGAACAAACCCGAGAAAGCCAATGCTGCTGTCCTGAACCTGGGCCTTGCAGTCGAGATCAGCCACTGTACTGGCAATGCTCGACGAATTTCTCTCCGAAAGCTTCTCACTTTGCCAATTTTCTGGAATTTGCTCGATCAACAATCTCCTAGATGGTGGGAGTCCCCTTGGGGTGAAAGATTCAAAGCCGCCTTGGAGAGCGATTCGGATAAAGTCATCGTTGATGTCTTCAAACAGTGCAAACCACATCGAAAGCAGATGGCAGACCTTGTCTGCTCAGTCCTGGAACTTCTTGATGATACTGGATATGATGGGGACAGATTCACGGCAGCCTTTCTCAATAACAACCAGGAATGTTTGATTGATATTGAGCCCAAAAAAAACGAATGGATGAAGATGCTTGGCTCGTCTCCTTATACTACAGCATACTCATTCATCAACAACGTTTGTTTGGAGTGTCATACTCCGGATCATAGTACGGCGACCCACGACTCTAACAAATCATATACTGTCCTACAAACTAGAATTTGGGCACGATCGAGCTTCCCAGATACCCACCATGTCAAAGTCAAACCACACGAACAAACTGCCAAGATTCTTGATAGAAGTGCTTCCAATGGACTTTTCGTCACCCCCGATACATGGGTATTCTCGGCTATTTCCATGTTCAACCCGTATCTTCCAGTCGTTTGCGAACTTTTTGATAGGTCTCCATTACCAGTTGCCAGGGCCAATCGAGCTATCGAAACATACGTCAGAGCTTCATCTAAGAGCTTTGGGGGTATGAAATTTGCCCGTGATAGGACACCTGTTATCGACACAGCAGTGGAAAATGCACCTCAGGAGAATGCACCACCATTGAATGCAGTACCAGATAATGCTAGAGTGTTGTTTTCAGTAGCGCTCAGCCCAACTTCAACAGCATTGCCTCTTCCGAATACATTGGGCTCCCAATTCGAAGTTCTGATGGACCCTCAACAGACCTCATCAGATCTACGGAAGGGAATGATACGTTCACTTACTGCGGGACAGTCAGCACCAGAAGAACAACCTCCAAATCAATTGACCGTCACCCCTTCAGCCGACATCACCGCGATTACGTACAACGAATCAGTTGCTGCTGAAGCTTCAACGCAAACTAACATAACTTGAGAACTCTTCATGGAGCGTCAGAAGAGAATGGCAGAACAACCCCTACCTCAAGCTTAGACAGCAATCGATCTTTTAATCACTGTAGTTGTTATGGTATAAACGAAACAATGACATGTTTCTCTCCCTTATCTTCGTTCTGTCCCTTGTCAGACCCGTCCGATTCGCTTTCGTCGCCCGGCAACCAGTAGCGGTATAGCTTAAAGAACGCACCAGTCCATTTCCCCGCTGGAATTTCTACCGTTCTTCTGCCATGAATATCTGTCCGTTCTAGCATTTGTCTTCGACATGCATCCCACCTCGTACATCGGAAGAGGAAGTGTTTAACAGTTTCTGTCGCTTGCCCACGTGCACATTGGTCCGATTCCCGCTGCTCCAATCCAATGGAGGTATTCGCTTCTCTTCACTTGAGTGCGTCGTATATGGTCCGAGTATGCTTCCCTGGAAGTGCCGTGTCCATCTTCCTGGTGTATTTTCCCACCTCCACTGGAAGTGCCCTCTTTTCGCCGAAATGCTACCGAAAACACGGCATCATCACGGGATCAACCACGGAAGCAATTGGAAAACGGGAATCCAGCAACAGAACCAGACCTCATATGGAGCCTCGGAGACTTCCAGGTCAAACATCTTCAGCTGTCATGTTTTGACTTAGAGGGTACCGTAGCACAAAAGGCAGATGCGTTAGGGTCTCTATTCCACCGAGTAATCACCAGTAGATTAATCTAATTATTCACCCACTGTAGCTTCTTACTTGTCCGGCCTGGCGTACTATAGCAAATATTTTCGAACCATCCTTTTAATTCAACCTCAACTATGACCACCGGTGGCGGCGAACGTGACGTATATCTGACCCCAACTAGTATATCATAAGTCACTTATTGGCGGTGCTTTCGAGTTGGCCGTTGAGCGAGTGCCGACGAATTCATCCAACAGCGCTTCTTTGACTGCTTGGCGCAACTTTGCTCCGAATGGCTGGAAGGTTCACTCCACTCATTCATGTATTTGCTCATAGCCTCCTCCTGTACAGAAATGTGAAAGCCTTCCACAAGCTCCATCTTAATTCGCTCGGGATTCAGCACAATATCCCATCCTCCGATGGGAATACCATTCGACAACAACTTGAAATTCCAGATAACCCTGATACCACATCTCCAGGTGTCGGCCTGCTGTGGCGTGGGTTATTCGACGGACATATAAAAGTTAATCCGACAACGAAAGAATTCCGAGAGAGCGACGCTTACCGCTTCAATGTAGGCATATTTCATGTCTGCGAACTCTTCCTGCATTCGTGTCAGGACGGTTGTCGTTCTCAACATCAAGGGAGATCTCACCTCTACCAGCCGAGCGACTCTCGTCTGCTTTCCACAACCGTTAATCGTGGCTTGATCCGCCATTGAGTCGTAGTGACGGATTACCCGCTCCTGATCGTTGATCTCAAGTAGCGTGAAGTGTGTACCACAATGGTTCAATGGGCAGAAGTATACCAACGGAGTCGTACTTTGAAACTCGGTTTTTCCCCCTTCACGAAGGCGGTTGACCCGTCGAGCCCAAGCCGCGAGTGGTCGGTTGATAGGTGCTACCGTTCTAGTCTTACCGACATGGTCTAGCGGGACACTATAGCCGTGGTTCACGAAGTCGGGCTTGTCTGATATATTTATAGCGAGGTTGATCATATCGTCATTCAGCCATTCCCCGTACCGAAGTCTGTCGAATATGTCACAAGTCACCGGTATGTTGTTCACCGCCACAGCGTCGATGTTTTCGAGCTTATGCTTCCCTAGTACCTTCGTGCTGACGTCTCCGATCAACCTGCGGACCGCCATATCTAAGGTACCTTTCGGCATCGGATCCTGCGCAGGAAAGACTGGTCTTAGTTGATGGAGTCTTTGGGGAATTTCGATTACTCACTGAATCCAAAGCAAAGGCCACGCGAAGGTGCTCGAGCTCTTTCTGTGATACGAGCTTCTCTTGGCGCAGTCCATCGTACAAGGCGTGGAGGTCAGGTTATCCTTCGCCGACCAACCGCTCTAGCTGTGTACCAAGCATTTCAAGTAGTTGCATCCGTCGCTGATCTGCCTGAATGTACCTGATCAACTCGTCGAGCTGTTTCCCCTCCATCTTGGTGTATTCCCTGTGATAGGGCGTTCAGATCATGGAGAGTGTCAAGGCGTAGTAAGACTTACCAGATTTTCGGGCTGAAAAGAATCCCCAGGCTAAGCTCTTTAACAAGCTTCTTACTCAATTTTTGACCCCTGCTGAGTTGTAACTTTATTTACCTCCGAAGTTGTTGATCCTTCGCGGCGATAACCTCCTCGCTCTTCTCAGTGGAAATATCAGCGGTGTTCCCTTCATTCTCAATTGTCACCCTGCCCACGCCGCTGATCCATTTCCCTCGAGTTGCGGTTCCGGATGACATGTTCTGCATAGAGTCCAGTACATATGTAGCTGCGCCTTTATGATCCACTAACTTACCCTTCCGGGTGCGAATCGTCTTCATCGCCAGCTGAATCTGTTCATCATACCACTCCCAGAACCCCATATATTCTATCATACTGAGGATCGTACCCTTCTGGTTCCGTGCCGACCCATTCTCGAGTATGCGGATCCATATTGACCCATCAGACCACCTTTGACCCAAGTTCAACCGGGAAGCTGTCTCTTGATTGTTTCTCCGGTGCGTCTGGAGGATTCTGGAATGGACATCCGCCGACACTGCGTCCGGGTACTTCTTGAGCTGATGGATAACCCCAACTGCCTCAATGATGAGGTCCATGAATGAATTTGTCTCGTGCGAGAACAATGCTGATTGCAATACCGGAGGTGACGCAATGCTTTTAAGCGGTGTCAACATTCTCTCTCGATAAATCTCTTCCGTTTGTGGTGAGATCGATGTGCCCTCAACTAGTTTCGTGGGAGTGAGCACTGCTGGGTCAGCTTTTGCGAGAGGCATCGACGGTCGAGACAAGACACCCCCCTTCGTGTTCTCAGTCTGTGCTTCTTCCGTTGTTTCATATCTCGTGTTCGTATCGTTGCTTGCTTCGACGGCGGTCCCTCTACCGTCTGCGGTGCCTTCGTCCCGGACAAGTACATCCTGAGTGACACCTTGTTGGTGATTCGGCGGTGGCGTTTTCTCAAGTCGAGGTGAATGGTCGCCCTCGCTGGACCTGTCCAGATTGACCCCCGCGTTTTGGACTGACGACCTTTGCGTCTCATTGGCAGTAGAGTCTTCGACCGAGGGGCGAAGTTTAGAGGTCTGAGGGAGGCCAGAATCGCTCAAGGGACAAGGGGTTTTTCGTTTTGTCCTTGGTAGACTTTGGGGGTCGGTAGGTCAGATCCTTACTCGACAGGCGGCTGCGCTTCGTATTGTGGCTGATGCTCTTTTCCACCTTGTCTTGTTCCTGCCGAAGAGAGTCGTCGATGGTGCTCCTCTCCTTCTGGATCGTCGTTGCCAATACATCCACAATCTCGGGGCCCTCCTCACATAGTTGTCGGATTATGACGGAAAACTGCCTCAGCTTATCGTCAGTGCCCAATACCAAGAAGAACGAGTACTAACGCACGTACCTCCTCCAAATTTCGGAGATCAATCGTTGTGTCCGAAGCCACCAAATGGAGCAGCCTCCGAAACAGCGCCAGCACTTCCACTTCAGTGCTTGTTAATTGACGGTTCTCAGATTCGTACTCAGAGCCAGAGCCAGAGTTACTGGAAGCCATCATCAGCGGTGCAGATGGGAAAGAAAAGACGGATTGTCAAGTTGATGTACACAAGATCAAAGGCTAAGGTGCTAAAGAAGAGAGCAGGGAGGACGAACAGGAAAGGGTGGATGAGATGATTTAATACGACTGTAGGATGTCCTTCGGAATCCCAGGATTCCGAAACGACTTGTGAAAGGACTCTAGACGTATGCGGCGCTCGCAGGTGACCGATGACAGCACAGTTCTCAGCCGTGCAACGCTCTCCATCTCACAAGAACAAAAGTTCCACAGTGACAATCATGAGACTCGCCAGCATCTAAACGAAGCATACTCGTGGTCTACCCCCGTCGAGGAGAAGAATGCGGATGACCAGCCAAAGCCAAGCGGAATTCAACCCTTCCGTCTACCCGCTCGTCACCATTCCAGGGAGATCAGATAGCTCTGAGCCATGATTTGCTGTCAACGGACCCTGATCCTAGCGTTGACTTCTTGTTGCCCCATCAGTCCGTGGGGTTGCTGCTGATCCAGCAAGGCAGACTCTGAATAGAGGCACCGTGACTGTTCAAGACTAAATTCCTCACTTCACCAGGGGGCTGGAAACTTGCTAATCAGTGCTCGAGTGATCCTTGAGGTTTGCAAAGGTTTCTGAGATTCACAAAGGCGAGGTGTGTCATGTGCCATATGACGTTCCGCCGACAGGCCTCTGAGGGCGGCAAAACGAAGAGAGCTGCGACCACTGGCAGGTCCTCTCCACCATTTTTGACCAGCCGAACGAACTAGTTCAGGAGATGAAATCCGGGCGAGGGCAGCTTTAACAAGGCGTTGACGGTAATTATACCAAATGAGAAAGAGGGGGTTGTCAAGATACCATTCCCAGCTATGATACCAGCTTCACGGAACTCAATTGAAGATGGAAAACCTTGAGGCAGATTAGACCGACGCAAGAGACCTTGGATAGTACTTACGCCGATGAAGGTGGATATCAGGGACGATAAAGTGGCTCCGTATTGACTAGGACTCAATGGAACGTGATCAGTATTGCTACACGGGAATTAGATGACTCGAATGGATGTCTGCTCGTGGTGTTCACCCGCTTCCGTCTGGAGAACTCTTATTTATTTGGATTGACTCCAGCGTGGTTGCTGATGATTATAAGTTAGTCTTTGGCTGGAGCCTTGTGACCACCAAGGCACACCTACATGCGACAGACGCTGCCCCAAGGAAGGAAGGTAGGCCGAAGAACAGAACCAGACCAGGTCGGGCATGGTCTAGGCAGGGGACGGCAAGTACACTGTCTTACTGCTTCTCCTCCGCCTTTCGTCGTTCCTGTTCAGTTTACCTTCGCTTCGCTTGTTTCCTTTCGAGTGCTATCTGTTGCTCTAGCTCCAGCCGCTTTCATTTGATCTCTCTCTTCTCCAGTGCTTTCTATTGCTCCAATATCACCTTCTTTTGCTTTGCCTTTTTCTTCTCAAGTGCTCTCTATTGCTCCAGCTCCATCCGCTTTCGCTTGGCTTCTCTCCTCTCTAATGCTTGCTGGTGTACCAACTCTCTCTTCTCCCGCTTAGCCTCTTTCTTTTTAAGTGCTAGCTGCTGCTCTAGCTTGACACGCCGCCGCTTAATCTTATTTTTCTCTAGTGCTTTCTGTTGCTCCAATATCACCTTCTTTTGCTTTGCCTCTTTCTTCTTAAGTGCTCTCTATTGCTCTAGCTCCAGCCGCTTTCGTTTGATCTCTCTCTTCTCCAGTGCTTTCTATTACTCCAATATCACCTTCTTTTGCTTTGCCTCTTTCTTCTCAAGTACTCTCTACTTCTCCAGCTCCACCCGCTTCCGTTTAATCTCTCTCTTCTTAAATGCTTGCTATCGCTCGGATGTACTCTTCCGTCGCTTGGCCTCTTTCTTTTCCAGTGCTATTCGCTGTTCCAATTCGGCTTGCTTTCGCATATTCTCTTTCGTTTCCTGAGCCTTGAGTGACGCCGTCTCTACTTTACATTGTTCACCATTAGTTTGTACGATATTCTGCAATTGGACAACCGTTCTATATAATTATACTATTCCTATAGCAATATTATACTCCGTAGATATATAATCACGAGTAATACGTCCCGTTACGAGTAGATTCGCGATGAATATTTACTACGTATTCGATTTATCAAGGGGCTAGATTTAATACTAAAAAGCGGCTCCGCCCGCCACTATAGGATATACATATTCGATTCGGACGGTACTAGATCCGTATACGAGTCCTTTCAGAATCGGTTCTTCTAGTTCTCGATAGTTCGATCGCTTTCTAGTGCTGTAGATACTTAGAGGGGGTTTTATGAGGACAACGGCCTAACGGCCACCACGGCATACGTACTCTATAAATCGACTAGAAGCCGCCTTTATATACCTAGACTAAGCTTTCGAGCTCTTGCTATATCTTACACTACCTACGTTGCGATCGCTGTATAAGGGACCTATTACGAGGGTTAGTATCGGTAAATCGTATTCCTCTACCCATCGTCGGGTAAGCTCAGGCGGCACGCCGGTCCAAAAAATAAGGTAAGTTACATCTTGCAGTGCGAAATTAAATCTCTTATCGAGTCGACACAACTCCTTTAAGCTACAATATTATAATGGATCCTAGGTAGAAGCCGTAAGCACGCTCGCCATCGTACTAAAGAGATAGAGAATAAAGCGGCTACTCTAGTTTCGAACGTAAGAGAGAAGAAGAGTATTACGAACTAGGTCACTAGAAGGGTCGCCAAGAACAAGCTACCTATACTTAAAGGAAACGAGGAAGTTAGCCGATGGAGAACGAGGCTATATTACGTAACTAGGGAATAGACTATAGAGGACTATAGACTACGAGGATAGTCTAAGTAAGTCTATAGTCTAGACTAGCATTATATATATACGCTCCTTTACCTAGATAGTATAGATCGTAGTTAACTTCGTTAGTAATCCTATACCTACGTTTTAGGATATAGTCCGACGATTATATATTCCCTTTATTATCTTAGTTAATACTCTAGTACCTACTCTATTAAGGAACCCTACCTTAGTTAGAACTACTTATAGCTCGGATTATAATACTTTAACTACTACTTAATTAGTATTAGATATCTAACGTAGGATTATCTCGAAT